ATTTTATTTCTAATTTATTACTCATTTATTGTTCAAATTTTCATAATTAAAATTAAAAGTCCGCTTTCCATCATCACTTCTTTGTCTGACTGGATCTCACTGTATCATTGTGTAATAATAGACAGCAGAATTTACTCACTGAGAGATTTATTCATGAAGGAAAGCTTTAATGCAGCGCAGGAGATGCAGACTCGCTTCTCAAATCTCAAAATGCTTTTAAAATGCACAGTAATATAGCAAATTAAATTCAGTTCAGTTCAGTTCGGTTTATTTCTGAAGAACATTTAAAACAGCAACAAGGCTGTACAACACAAAAAAAAAAAGTAAAAAAAAAAAAGTAAAGAAAAGCAAACAAGACATTCCATTGTATTAAACGCCGATGAAAAGAAGTATGTTTTAAGACTAGGTTTGAATGCAGATAAAATAGAAGCAACCCTAATATAGTTTGGAGGACTGTTCCATAAAGTGGGACCAACCACAGAAAAAGCTCTATCTACCTAAAACGAGTTCTTGGAATTTGGAGCAAGTTTTTTTTTAGGCTTTATGAGGGTTTTTAGGAGTGGAGTAAACTAGACAACTTGGTGTTTGATTATGTAAAGATTTATAGAAAAGTAATAGGATTTTGAACTCAATTCTAAGGTCTGACATGCGGGAATTTCTTGCATCCTTTCAGAACGTGTTCTATTGCATTCTGAACCACATGCAAACAGGTAATTTGAGACTTTGAAATACCGTAATACAGAGAGCTGCAGTTCAGCCTAGTCGTAATTAGAGCATTGCAACTTTCAAGGTCTTCTCATATAGAAACGACTTAATTTTAGCAAGCAAGCGGAGCTGAAAGAAACTAGATCCAATCACAGAGCTAATATGTTTATCAAGCTTGAGAGGGTTGCCAAACTCCACACCGAAATTCCTCACATGAGGAAAAAAAAGTTTGCAGATATCCAAGATCAATCATGTTCATTCCTGAAGAAACGGAGGGGACAAAAACAATAGCCTCTGTTTTATCTGCATTCAAAAAAGGACGTTTTTAGAAAGCCGGCATTTAACCTCTTACAAACAGGCAAACAGAGAATTAAAGCTGTTTGATTGTTCCGAGCCATGGGTAGGTAAATTTGCGTATCGTCAGCGTAGCAGTGAAAAGAAACCCCATGTTTCCTAAAGACAGAACCCAGGGTAAACATATATAGTGAAAACTGATGACATCAATGTAATGTACAAAGTAATTAACAATTAATAATTCATGTTTTTAATTATATGTTTGCATGCAAAAATTATTAAGTTGTACCAAATCATTTTATTTGTGTTTAGTAAACATAAAAACAGACATCCAGTAACTTGGTAAATTATATAGAGCTTTTAACAATACAGATTAGGCATGTAACGGTATGAAAATGTCTTATCACGATTATAGTGACCAAAATTATCACCATGGTTCCCGGAGTAGGGAACGAGACACTGCGTCCTCTAGGTTTCTTGCCATGCTGCGGACGCAAGCTTCAGACAAAGAAGTGAATGATGTGTGCTCCCGGCGCCTATTTATACTATAGTCGCACCGGTAGTGACGTCATGGCTGTCGCCGGCCAACGAGTTGGTGTTTATTCAATGTATGCTTCAGGCACGGGTCACGACGAGGCGTTCCCCATAGCGACCCCTAGAGGACGCAGTGTCTCGTTCCCTACTCAGGGAACCATGGTTACATAAGTAACCTGAGATGTTTTTGCTCATTGCAATTTATTGCATTTGTTTTTATTTCTTTTTCAGTATTATGTTTTTTTGACTTCTTGTTTGATTCTCATTTTATTTCTAATTTATTACTCATTTATTGTTCAAATTTTCATAATTAAAATTAAAAGTCCGCTTTCCATCATCACTTCTTTGTCTGACTGGATCTCACTGTATCATTGTGTAATAATAGACAGCAGAATTTACTCACTGAGAGATTTATTCATGAAGGAAAGCTTTAATGCAGCGCAGGAGATGCAGACTCGCTTCTCAAATCTCAAAATGCTTTTAAAATGCACAGTAATATAGCAAATTAAATTCAGTTCAGTTCAGTTCGGTTTATTTCTGAAGAACATTTAAAACAGCAACAAGGCTGTACAACACAAAAAAAAAAAGTAAAAAAAAAAAAGTAAAGAAAAGCAAACAAGACATTCCATTGTATTAAACGCCGATGAAAAGAAGTATGTTTTAAGACTAGGTTTGAATGCAGATAAAATAGAAGCAACCCTAATATAGTTTGGAGGACTGTTCCATAAAGTGGGACCAACCACAGAAAAAGCTCTATCTACCTAAAACGAGTTCTTGGAATTTGGAGCAAGTTTTTTTTTAGGCTTTATGAGGGTTTTTAGGAGTGGAGTAAACTAGACAACTTGGTGTTTGATTATGTAAAGATTTATAGAAAAGTAATAGGATTTTGAACTCAATTCTAAGGTCTGACATGCGGGAATTTCTTGCATCCTTTCAGAACGTGTTCTATTGCATTCTGAACCACATGCAAACAGGTAATTTGAGACTTTGAAATACCGTAATACAGAGAGCTGCAGTTCAGCCTAGTCGTAATTAGAGCATTGCAACTTTCAAGGTCTTCTCATATAGAAACGACTTAATTTTAGCAAGCAAGCGGAGCTGAAAGAAACTAGATCCAATCACAGAGCTAATATGTTTATCAAGCTTGAGAGGGTTGCCAAACTCCACACCGAAATTCCTCACATGAGGAAAAAAAAGTTTGCAGATATCCAAGATCAATCATGTTCATTCCTGAAGAAACGGAGGGGACAAAAACAATAGCCTCTGTTTTATCTGCATTCAAAAAAGGACGTTTTTAGAAAGCCGGCATTTAACCTCTTACAAACAGGCAAACAGAGAATTAAAGCTGTTTGATTGTTCCGAGCCATGGGTAGGTAAATTTGCGTATCGTCAGCGTAGCAGTGAAAAGAAACCCCATGTTTCCTAAAGACAGAACCCAGGGTAAACATATATAGTGAAAACTGATGACATCAATGTAATGTACAAAGTAATTAACAATTAATAATTCATGTTTTTAATTATATGTTTGCATGCAAAAATTATTAAGTTGTACCAAATCATTTTATTTGTGTTTAGTAAACATAAAAACAGACATCCAGTAACTTGGTAAATTATATAGAGCTTTTAACAATACAGATTAGGCATGTAACGGTATGAAAATGTCTTATCACGATTATAGTGACCAAAATTATCACGGTTATCAGTATTATCACGGTATTGTTATAATGTTCTGGAGATGTTCAAAAAGTACAGACACATAAATCACTTCACCAAGTTTTATATTTAAAAATCAGCAAACAACAAATAAAATGACTTTTTGTTTGCATAATCACTAAAAAAAGGTAAACCTCACATTTCAGCCTTTAAATAAAGAAAAGAGTTAAGTCAAAATGATAATTGATTAATAGATGATTATATGTATTTTATCTGCTCCATAAATAATTCTAGATAACTTATCTGAATTGTTCAAATGTGTAGAATCCACACTGTTTTCCATCAACCGGTCAAAATTTACAGCAGGGCATGCAAATTCGGTCTGTTTTTGGCCAGACAGAAACCGCACACAGGCTGAATGTAAATATGTCTCTGTAAATCCACTCGCTGACAGCAGGTGGCGCTTATGGACAAGCTTAATTAGAGCCAACTACTCTGCATGCTGTGCGCACGTGAGACTGTTACTGAAAACTGCTTTATGCTGGACAGTATTTATTTATCGTGTTGTTCAAATCGCGGTAATTGAATACGGTTTTAATGATAATTAAAATATGAAACGGTAATACTAAAAAATCCTTTAACGGATTTGAATATTAGAAGCGTATTAGTGTGTTATGTGTAAACCAGGTTAAAGAGATGGGTCTTTAATCTAGATTTAAACTGCAAGAGTGTGTCTGCGTCCCGAACAATGTTAGGTAGGTTATTCCAGAGTTTGGGTGCTAAATAGGAAACTGCAGGAAACGCTGTGTTAATGTTTAACATGATTATGGAGCCTTAAAATAAGTGTTAGCTTAAGGACCTTTATGAGAGATGAACTTTTAGCTACTGTAACAAAATTTGAGTAATGTTGATCAAAGAGTATTAAGAGTATTTACAGTATATTCTTGCTAAAGACATAAAAACAACAACTAAGCCCACATAAAAGTCATTTTGGTGCAAAACATGTTTTATTGCCTCAATACTCACAGTAGACAATATCCTTAAACAGAAGATATTCCTTTCATCATAAATCAACATAAAGAAAAAATTCCAAGAGAGAAAGAAAATATTTGTTCATTTATCAAAATAATGTAACGTTTGAAGAGTTACTTTACAGTAATCAAAAAATAATAGAGCTAAAAAGCATAAAAATTGAGCACTATAAAGAATACTTGATAAATGATTAATAGTAAATGTTCATCAACATTTACAAATGATAAACAGTTTCAACGTGGTACAGCAAAAAATTGAACAAATAATTAATAAACTATTTGCAAATATGTGTAAGAAATGTGCATGCACACCACTGTCAACTTTACAGACTGTTAACTCACAGACTGTGGTTATGAGTTAATTAATCATATGTCAACATGAATAGTGTCTAAAACAGTATTTGCAAATGTAAAAAGTGCATTAGAAGATATATAATTTATTTTAATCAGTTTAAGCAACCAGTTTAATTACATTTGCAAGCATTCAAATGCACACTAATAAATAAACTGTTAATCAGTGTATAACATCTGTTAAAATCATTTGTATTTTGTTATAAAGTGCCTGATCATATATTGTATGAATTGAAAGTTTATTAACATTTGTAAGCATTTTATGTTAATTAATGATCTATTAATCATTATGTGATGTTCACTAGGTGCCCTAGGAATCATTTAGACAGTAATTGCCAGTGTTTGGGAGTAACTAGTTACATGTAACAGCGTTACGTCATTTAGTTACAAAATAAATGTAACTAATCAGTTACAGAGAAATAAAATGTGTAATTAAATTAGTCAGTTGTGAAAACGACTGCAAAGAGGGTTACATGTAAGTATTTTCTGTAAGAACACAATGGAATTGTTTTCAGTGAGATTATAGTAGTTATGAATTCAGAATTGTGTGAAAGCAGTGCACTATGACCATCAACACGTTTCACTGTATAGAACAGGATCGAGACGCAGGTCTCGGTCTGCTGTTAATCGCTTCCACCTGCTGTCTGTGCTGTTGCCTCAGCACTTCCATGCTCTGTGCATTTCTTCGCTCCTGATCCGCTATCATCTTTGCGAGCTCTCTGGACTTCCTATCCTCTACCTCTTTATTCTTCCTCCTCAACTGCTCTATCTCGCTGGCCATTTTGTTAGCGTTCTCCTGAAAGCCCTTCTCCATCAGGGCAGCCTGTTCCCTCAGCTTACTGTCCATGGCGCGCTTTGTCTCCTGCTGCTGGACGAACATCTCCTCTTCCATCTTCTGTATGACCTGTCTCACCCTCTCCTCATTATTCTGTTCTTCAATCACCATCTTCTCCTCCAGCTGACGCTGCCTCTCTTCCTGGGCCTTCATCTCCTGTTCCAGAAGGACGGCCCGCTCTCTCTCCTCTGGTCAGCCCAAAAACAAGTGGTTACAGAAACAGACATGCTGTAAGTTCAATGAAGGAGACAAATCTAACAACATCATCCGTCTTGTTTGACACACTGAAACATAAGCGTTCAAAACGGTTGTAGATGTTTTAATTTGCCCTAACACTAACTGTGCCACTGGGTTGATTCTATTCATATTCTCATGTTTAAGGCTTACTGTGTCTACTTTGTTGAAAACACAAAGCTCTTACCGCAAATCCTTCTTTCGTTTTCGGTTAGTTTATCATCAGCCTGCAGAATGGCTGTGGTGACTGCAACCTTCTGCTGTAGAAATTTCTCCAACACCTCGGCAACCTATGAAGAAACACAGACGTGTAAACCTGATATGGTAAAAATATTAATATCTGAAGATGCTTAGTGCTATTGCTTAAATATACTGTATATATATATACACACATACAAACACACATACACACTTGATTGATCCAGCCATATAGAGGATATACAGCCATATCTCACGGCTACGAGTGTGATATTGCTCATATCTACCTGTACGTCATCAACACTATGATAATAATAATAGCATTGTTCTATGTTAATAATGTAACATTCATCACCTTGACTTCTTGATAGGCCAGTGTATTGTACTGATTCACAATGTCCTCCAGGTCCTGGCAGAAGAGATCGTACCCACCAGCTGTGGCATAAAATCCTTGATTGATCCTCTCCGTCATTGGTTCAGAGAGAACTGACAGAAGACTTTCACATTTTGCCTCGGAGGCATTCTCATTGTCCCAGAGATAGCTGTCAAACTGATGATTGATGGCTTCCTGAAACAGCACAACAAAACAGGAAGGATATATCGTATCGTCGGCCTCAGTTATGGAGATGCACATCCCTACTGGATACCACTAGTACAGTGCAGAACCAATGGATAAAAAACCCCATAATACAAGACATAATTTTCAATATGTAACTGAGATTATTGCTGGAATTTCCACAAAATCTAGACAAGAAGCCTCAATCTTAAAGTGGTTACACTTTATTTCGATAGTCCACTTTAGACATTCTACTAACTATAAGTAACTTTGTAACTACATGTCAACTACATGTCAACTAATTCTCATTAATTTGCAACTACATGTCTACTAACTCTCAGAGTAGACTGTTAGGGTAGGTTTAGGGTTAGTAGAATAAGTTGGCAAAGAAAGTGTTAGAAGATATTAAGCAGACAGTCTACTAATACTCTACTAACTGCTAGTTGACATGTAGTTGCAAAGTTACTTACTGTTAATAGAATGTCTAAAGTGGACTATCGAAATAAAGTGTTACCCTTAAAGTTGTTGGCTGTCCTCAGTTTTTATAGTGGGTGGGACATCTATATTTATTGCCTTCTAGGCCTCATAGGTGTATCAGGACTACTGCAGAAGATTTAGAGACTGCATGCTTTACCCTACACTGCAAATGAATGATTTTCTTACTTTTTGTCTTGATTTCTAGTATGAATATCAAATATTTAAACATTCTTGAAACAAGATACTTTTACTTGAGAAGCAAAATGACTCGAGATATTAAGTCTGAAAAAAAAGCATCAAAAGTTTGTTAGTTTTTGCTTAAAACAAGAAAAAATATCTGCCAATGGGATAAGAAAAATCATCTTAATTGAAAGGGAAAACAATGTTATTTTTCTAACCCCACTGGCAGATATTTTTTCTCGTTTTAAGCAAAAACTTAAACTTTTATTACGATATGACTTAAGATACAGTAGGTCTTGTTTTCTGAAAAATGTAAGTCATTTTGCTTGCTCAAGTTAATGTCTTTCTGAGCCGCGTTGTTCCCTGATAAGTTTGCTTCGTCATGATTCGAAACTTTATAGGGCAGCTCTCGTTGTTACTCATTCTTTAACTTCTCACATGACATTTAAAACCATTGTGTGCATTTGTAAATTAAAGTTAATTGGATTGTTATTAAATAATCGGTCTTTGAATTAACTTTGTCAGCCATGTTGCTATTGGAGTCCTAGCTGTGAGTTTCATGTCGTTTTCCATAAAGTGACTTCTATTGTTGTAATCTGGCATGTCCACTCCCACCGACCTCTAAAGATGCCAAGTGCTTCCCATCACTGTCCCTGAAGGAGCGTTTCATGAAGGTCTGTGTTGCCATGAGACTGAAGCATTGGTGTTCCGAGGTGATTTCGTTCAGTTCCAGAGGGAAGGACTTCTTCAGCTTCTCCATTCCACTCTGGTACACCTCAAGCCCCTCCTTCACCGCAGCCTCATTCTCAATCAGTGCCATTGAGATCACAGCGTTCTCCAGACACGGCACAGCTCCACTGGCGATGGTGTCTACGTATGTTTTTACTAGATGACCCAGAACTGTAGGAAAGCAGAGGAGTCAAACACAAGTACGGTACAAAATAAATGGATGCAATCCTATCAGCTTTAGTTTTGGAACAGTGTTTTTCAAGCTTTAGTTGTCGATGAATAAAGATGCAAAGACAGAAAACATTAAGAGTCCAAAACATTAAAAGCATAATTCACTCGAAAAACAAATATTTGATGACTGTTTTGGGTTAAACCATTTTGGTTTCCATTGACTTCCATTTGTATGTCCAAAAAAACTACAGAGTTCTCAGAATAAATTCTTCTATGTTCCACGAAAGAATAGCAGGTTTGGAATGAAATGAGGGTGTGTAAATGATGACAGAATTTTCATTCTCGGGTGAACTTTAAGAGACTGTCTTGCTAGTGTTGTGGTTACAGCAACAAGACTAAAACTAAACGGTGACCAATACAGTATTTGCTGAAAAGCTTGTGGTACCGGAACTGTGGTTGCTATCAATATTGAACGCATTAGCCAGCCATGCGGTATGTTTAACCACCAACACATCATTTTGAAGTGAATTTCTAGCATCTCCCCGATTCAACCATTTAGAGTTGGGCGATATGACCAAAATCTTACACCATGACACGAGTAACTTCCCATCACAGTAATGCCTGAAATTAGTTTTCTTTCTATACCAAGACATTACTTAAAGCCATATATAACTCACACAGCTTCTTGCATTAATATATCTCAACACAACACAACACTGCATTTTAATGCCATACCATTAAAGCAGGGGTGCCCAAACTCGGTCCTGGAGGGCCGGTGTCCTGAAGAGTTTAGCTCCAACCCCAATTAAACACACTTGAACCAGCTAATCAAGCTCTTACTAGGCATACTAGAAACTTGAAGGCAGGTGTGTTGAGGCAAGTTGGAGCTAAACTCTGCAGGACACCGGCCCTCCAGGACCGAGTTTGGGCACCCCTGCATTAAAGCTTCTCTCCATTTTTCTCTGATGTCAGTACTTTCATTTAGTCCTGGCACTGATTTATATGCTAGACAAAGTAATAAATACGGTATGGCCAAATCTCAACATAAATCATATCGCCCAGCTCTAAAACTGCTCAAAGTTAAAGTATTAAGGCATTGCAGACATACCAGTATTACTTTCTAGAAAGCTGCTTTGAAACAACTACAGTATGTGTATTGTGAGAAGGGCTATAGAAATAAATTTGATCTCTTGGATTAGCCACTGCTACATGAACCAAAGAGTTACCTCTGCCGGTGACCGTGTGTCCATCTTTCAGATTTTTCACTTGGCTCTGGTCAAAGATAAACTGGCAGAAACGACCCGTGACCTCCAAGAATCTTTGTGAAATCTCAGCTGGGTCCAGTGTCTCCAGATAAGAGACATTGTCTGGATTGGTTTGGAACGGGAAGGTGAAACATTTCCGAGATGGGAAGTATTTGCGAATGCACTCTCTTGGAAGGTTGTAATTGTTCACTTGACTCGAGTTACCTTCAAGAGAACAACACAAAGCTGTCCTTCAGTCAAAATACACAGTGCACCCTTACGAAAAAGAAGTGCTATTAGTATACTTCTTAAACTAAAAAATAGGAAAGTATACTTTCAGTCTACTTTTTATGTACTTCTCAGAAATATACTTAAAATGACATTTAAGTATACTTGACTTATACTTGATTTATTTGAGCTATACTTGTGCTCTGAAAATGCTTTCATTGTTATACGGTAGGGGGCGCTAATACAAATCTTCTGTACAGAATTTCCAAAACAGGGAAAGAGACATAAAACAGCATCAAAACTGTGTAACATTATGGAATAAAATGTCAACCAATAAAGAGGTAAAAATGATTGTCAAGGTTTGGGGTGTTGATCGACTCTATCTACGTTTCGATTATCATTCTGAATCCAATTCATAGTCTTTTTTTCAGCTTTTTGTTTAAAATGTTGTTGATTTATTTCTTTCTTTATTATTTTTTTTATTTATGAAACTTACCCACATTCAAGTGTTTATAAAAAAGAATGCATGAAGCTAGAATAAAATGTTTTTGTTTACAAGCAGATACCCTGTTCTTTCTTTTGATGTTTTGTATGTTCAGATAATCTTATAACAAAATATATACACATTAATGAATAGGGACATAGTATACTTAAAGTATGATGTAAAGTTCACTTAAAGAAAACTTACAAGTATACATAACTAGTAGTTTACTGAGACTATACTTCAAAGTGTACTAAAAATGCTACTACAAGTATTTAATTAGAAAACTATCAGTATTCATAT